TCGTAAGTAAAAACTAAATTAATGAAATCTTTTTTTTTTCTTAAACTTATATCTTTAAAGATAGCCGTGACCAAATCAAATTACATTCAGTTATTGAAGACGCGTAGTTTATTTTTTTATTGTAGAACGAAGATGAATATACTTTTATAATTGGATCTACAAAAAATTGTTGGCGAAAAAACTATTTAAGAAATGACTGCGGATATCGTCACGTATTGCATCATTTATCAACGAAAAAAACAAGGTTCTAAAGCGTATTTGAATATTTTTAAAGTGGACCGTGTGTTACTTGTTGGAGACTATTCTTATTTAGAAAAAAACAATAATAAACACACAGGCGTACACAATAAAACCTATTTTTCGCTGCCGGCAACAAAAACACGTTTAGTATCCGACTTTAGATAGGCTATAGATCCTAGTCTTTTGATCCTATGAGTGTAAATCTTACTAATACTAATGAAAAAGTTTAGAAGGATGGATGCTCGTTGGAAGATATCTCCAGAATTGCTCAACGAATCTCAATGAAATTTAGCACAGATGTAGATAATATTCTGGAAGAACAGATAAGCTACTTACTACATTTTTTTAATTACACGCGAATGAAGTCAAGGCTAAAAGCTAGTTGATACATACATTAATATTATATCATAATAAAGGTTGTGTACTAAATGAGACATAGCGCACGTCGTTCGTACGTATATAAATTAGTCGAAAAGTCCAGTAATTCTGTAAATAACGTAGTAATGACCAGCAATTCCGCGCGATCATTACGACGCACACATTGTTGGGTGGCCAGTTATACGTTATTAGTATGCATATTTAAGTATCATCAACTTTCCCTGCAATTCGCTTGCATGAGCACACGTCGCCATAGTTTTTTTTATGCTTCTATTATTTTCTAGAATAAAAGATTATTAAACAAATTAAACGAAATACAGAGTTAACAAAATTACAAGAACATTATTGATACGTTAGATAAATCTTACTAATATAAATGTGAATATTTCGATTTATCAATGGATGAATGGATATTAGTTATTACGTGTAACCAGAACGGCTAAAAGGATCTCGTGAAATTTGGCATGGCATTGAACGTACTTTGGAGGAACACATAAGCTACATATTTTTTTAATTAAAAAAAAAACAAATTTAAAACAAACAACCTTTTTGACGTAAATTGGGAGTTATTCAACTTTCTTTGCGTTTTATTACATATAAACATATTTCCTATATCGTTTCATGAAGTTAGAATGTGTGATGTTAGATAAATCCTAAGTTAAAGTTATTCGTCAAGCTCGTAACTTGCTAAGTAATTGTAAGTGTGCAGTCCTCCTTGACCGGCAGAGGTCGCGCTCCGCGGCGTGTGATCACTTATGTAATTGATTTGTTCATGTATACCTAATACATAAGTTTATATTTTGATTCATATATAACATAAAATAAAGAGTTGTTAGAAGAAGTATTAAACTTTACACTAGAACAGCATAAATTATGTTATTTTGTGGTACAATTGTAATGAAATTGAAAAATTCTTCGAGACTAAGATAAATGAAATCAATGATATATCGTAGAAGATAACCTATTTAGAGTATTAAAAACAGTCGAATGAACAGGGTCGTTTAAATAGATCTTGACGAGGACGCCTTGTTAAACCATGCTATTCTGATCTGATCTGAATCTGCTCTGCCATTTCGAGAGTTAATACGAGGATGTTAAAATTTCGAAAGAATGGGAAAAGACACAGAGATAATAATGATGGTTATTTAAAATATTTAATCGACAGAAAACACTTTTTTTTGCTATAGATTCTGAGAAATGAAAATCATTTCCCTGCAGATACAAAGATTTATGGATTAGTCGACGATGATCCGAGATTGGAAAGTGGTGGTCGTGAGAACATAAGTATGGTAAGATATTATTATATTGAAGTTTAGTAATGGATACATCGCTTTGGTACAGTTAACATGCACGGTGCAGAGGTTGTACAAAGGGGTTTGAATTTTATGTCCAAAGTTTGAACCTGGATGTGACAACTATTTATTGAACGTTATATCGTTTCGAAGAATATATTGTTAATATGCTTAGACAATTACTTTATACATTATCGGATAGTTATCACATTAACAAAGACTATCAAATTTATGAGAGCTGCCTCCCTCATCTTGAGTAAAGGAAAAATTATCCTTTCAAAGAATTTCCTTATTAAGTATTCAAGATTTATACAATCGTGGAAGTATTATGCAAATAAGACAAATCTGTTAAGAATGAGCCGGCAGACTCTCACGCGTGACATCGCCGCGCCAAAGAAAGTAAATGCATTGATCTGAGATAAAAAATGATTGTTTAGAGACGCCACGAGATACACCGACCTCTCTTCATATTTACTTATTTAACAACAAATTCAAACAAAATCACGTATAAACATTCTAACATGTCCTACATAATTTGAAACAGTTATTGTTTGTTCGCACAACAAAAACGTAACACCCTACCTGTACGAAATCCGTTTTTTCGGTCAAATTCTCGAACCTTGCTAGAATTTCTTTCACTGACACTTTAGGTTCTGTTGTTTCTTCGTGTATCGTCTCCATATGTCCACTAGACGACGACGAATAACTTTGGGGGCATTTTTTGGTTTTGCGACGGGTGGGTTCGGGGTCACGAGTATCGGCGCCGGAGTCGGAGTCCTCGGGGTTGGATGCGTCGGCGCTAGAGAGAGCGCCTTCGGAGGAATTGATGAGGGAGTCGAGGGATGGTGCGCGCTGCGGGGGCGGGGAATCCTGCTCGAGGGAGTACATGCGATGCAGGTGGCGCCAATTGTCGCGCATCGCGTGCGTTAGCCGCGGCCGCTGCATGCTGCGGCTCAACGCTGACTGCGCGCACCATGCGCCCCACACGCCGCACGAGCGTCACAAGCCTAACGCGCGCGTCTTTACCGAGCCCATCTTTGCTACTCACGCATCCAATGTTTTTGACATTTAATAAAGTTTAAATAATAGTTTATTATAATTAATGTTTATATTTAAATATTAAAAAGGTCAAATTATATGGTGTTTAGAAATTTAATAGATTTTATATTAAAACATGGTTTATTGGAATTTCCATTTTTAATATTTATATTCGCATTTTAGTCTTAATAAGTATAAATTTTTCACGTACAAGTCTAACGTTATCACAAATAATTTAGATTATCTGAAATTTGATATGAGAAAAAGATGTGGTGAGGTGTGTTAATTTTATCGATTTGGATCGATTTTCCACGCGACATACGGTGAGCGCTAACCACAATTTCCTTCAATGTACACACCACCTTTATTATTTTATAGCTGTACACTACCTATAAGATGCATCAAGAAAACTTACAGAAGGCTTATTTATAAATTCAATTAAACTAAATTATGTTCCAGTGTTTAATATTCAAAAAATATGTAGATATAATATTGGTCTTCCATTTTCAAAATCTATTTTATGTTATAGATTGTTTTGTTTTAGGAAAATTTTCTCAACTGAAAATCATATTTATAGAGAGCTTACTCATTATATTTTCGTATTTCTAATCGTTAGGGTGGAACATTCTAGATGTTGTATGAGGAAGTGCGGCCGGCACGGGGCGGCCGTGTGTGTCGGCGCGGTCAGTGTAACGGGCTTCACATCTCAACGCTAACGGGAGCAATATTGCTTACCAGGGTTGACTGATCTTATATACGGGTACAGCACTATTATCTCTTTACTACTACCATGTTTAGGGTTGCCTCATTTTCAGTTTGGAACCGAATTATTTGATGCATATACGAACACAGATATTTTATTTAGGTGACAGTTTTCGTGTCTACATTTATTGAATGTTGGCAACCCTAAATACTCATGTCCCCTATTAAAGCTTGAAAAATGGAACTCGCAACACAAAAAATGTTGAAATATAATATTGCTAAAGTAAAATTTATCAGTAAGTCAAATGGAGCAGCAACAATTGTACTTTTTAAATGGTTTAATTGAATTGAAAGTGCTATAAAATTTATTGACTTACATAAATGAGATAATAAAACTTCATGAAGGATCCGTGAAAGGAATTAATAAAAAAGTATTTTAAGCGATATCGAATAAATACAAAAATAACGAAATGGACAAGAAGTATCTTAAATAAAAAAAATCTTATATGCATTTACGTAATATGGTACACAAAAATGTTACCTCGCGACTAAATACCAAATGTCATAAAAAAAACATCAATATTAACAAATTAAATATGCAAAATATTGGGCTCAAATTAAATAGTAATCGGTTACATAAGAATCAGTTTGAAAAGCATTATGTCACTTCGGAAGTAGGAACCATTTTTTTTTGTTTATTTAAACATGTCAAAATTTTACTTTTTAATGCCATTGAGACAAATGCTGAATCATGTATGTCACTGGCACATAAATTTAAAAAAAAAAACCTCAACCAAGCGATAATAGTCATTAAAACCAAAGCAATACAGATTATATTTGCTTGATAGAGTAATAATTTAAATGTACTGCCGAAGATTAGGATTTTGAAGTGTCGATATTCATCATGAACAAACATTATTCTTCTAAGCAAAGACATTTTACGTTCACAAACACGTAATCAAACATTTAGGTAAAGAGGACGTGAACTTTTATATTGTTAATTTTACGAGTTACGTATTGTTGAAAATCAACAATGAAAATAATCCATCTTAAATTATTTAGACGTATTTAAGATGGATTATTATTTTACATTGTCGTTACTTTTACCAATTCAAGGAATTTTTGCCGCTGCTAATTTGTTCCGAAGTTTTGCCCTACACATAATAAACGAAGAATAATACGAGCAGTAAATATAATAAAAGTACAAAAATATCGCCAAATAAAAATCAAGAAATGTTATAAAATAATTTCTTTCATCTAATAACATTCGTTCCGTCTGAATAATTGCAAGGTATAAAGACATTTTGAAAGAAATTTCGTCATCGTGTTTAATCTAGATTTTGGACATACCTGCGTATACTGCAATGCAAACTCAACGATAAGGGCGTGTGCATGGTGAGCGAGCGGCGCGTGCAGCGTGAGCGGCGAGTCACGTGCGGGCGTCAGCTGCAGCGTGCCGGGCGCGGGGGCAGACGCGCGCAGACCGCCCAGTGACAGCGTGCGTCGTACTGTCAGCCCAGATGGACCTGAACACAACACAACTCTCAATTTTGTGATCAAATTGCAGCTAAAAAATCTTGTAATAATATATGTCGCCATGGGTTTCTACGTGTTTAAAACATATGTCCGTTTTGGCAAAGACAGAGATGAGGATATGTTTTATACAAATGTTTTGGTGTCAGAAACCAAGGGTAAATAGATCCATCTCGACAGCGAAAACTGGACATGAATTCCATAACTGGATTTTTTTTCGCATAACGTGATCCTGCCATAACCTACCTTTAACCCCGATCACAACAGCGGCGTGTGTGACAGCCAGCACGGCGCTCTCTCCAGGCGGCAGACGTGCGGAGAACAGCCTCGCGAAGTAGAAGGGCCACCCGCGCGCCATCTCGACGCAGGCGCGCTTGATGTGCGCACGCGCCGGCGCCCCGCCCCCAGACACGCCTTGCGCGCGCAGCCACGCCTGCCCCGCGCGACGTTCCGACGCGCTGATACGCAGCGACGCCATGTTCGATGTTATATCGCTGACGATCTATTACACATAAAAAATATTTAAAATCGACAGCGTCTATAAAATATCTTTGTATGAGTAATGTGAACGACTTAATTTAACTTCTTACATATGAAGTTACTTACCTGTGCATAAAGTAAATCCAAAATGTTTGGCTCGCTGTAAGTCTCTAGAGGCGTAAATACTTCTTTGCGCACGCGCAGTTTCCACGGTACTCGCGTGTACGTTAAAAAGGCGCGGTCCGACGGAAGGAAGGCAGCGGGGGCCGGTACGTCACCTAAGAAAATAAAATATTGTTAGATAATAAACAAAGTGAATGAACACAATAGTAATCTTACAATTTATGGAATTACTTACGTTCGATGTGTTCCGTTCTGTCGGTGACGTGGGTCGAAACGGATTGCCTTCTTTCAGCTTCAATCTTTCTTTCTCTCTCTTTCTGCGCCATGTGAGTTTTAAACGTCGCCCTCTCCGGCCTTCTCGACGTTTCAGTATTCTCCGGAGGAAACACGACGTCAGATCGTGGACTGTCCCTCATGCGTCCGACTAGCATGTCCCTGGAATTCTTTCGTCCATCGAAACGATCGAACTCATCAAAATATGAAGATGACCGTTTACGCTCGAAAGTAGCCGCCAGTTCGCTTTCTTCTTTTCTCCTTTCAGCTCTTGTCGGGTGAATCTCGTATATTTCAGACGCCTCACGCCCTGAATAACTGTCCCGCAAGTCTCGCCTGTCCGTGGTGTCTAAGCCTGACTCCGAATCCCATTCGTCCCTGCCGTGCTGCTGCCTCTCCTCGCTGTATCCTCTCGCGTCGGACTCGTCGCCCCAATCGCTGACGCGGCGCTCCCGCCGGTCGGCGGTGAGAAACCGAGATGCTAAATCGTCACCCTGGTTTGAATCGGTCTCGTCTTTTCTTCGCGAGCTCCAGTTGGCTAAGAAAGCGTTGCGATCGTCAGCTTCCCTGTTCTGATGAACACCGAAGGTGTCACGGTCGCGACGCAACTGGGCGAATGATGCATCCGGAGCCGGAGGAGGTGGCGCGGGTCTGTCCGGCGGGGTGGGGGGTGACATTGGGGGAGGAGGTGCGGGGCCCGGCGGAGCGGGAGGTAATGGAGGCGGAGGAGCGTCCCATCTACCTCCGCCCAGCTGTCGCTCCAACATGAGCTTTCTGGTATCCTCCAGCTTGTTAATAGTTCGAGGCGTCTCGGCTGCGGAGGAGGTGCTACGAACAGAATGGTTGGCGGTGACGCGTTCGAGTCTTTGCCTCATTTCAGAGCTGAGCTTCAATTTGCCCACGCTGCCGGGGGAGGGTCGCTGCGCTCCTATTTCAAAGCTCCTTCTGGCCGTTCTCTGAGACGGTGGTTCTCTGCTCGGAGAGATATTTTGTCCGTCCACTTCAAACTCCTCCCACTCAATGCTGGGCGAGGCCTCGGACCGCGACCTGCCGCGAGGGGGTTCGTGCTCGACCATTCCATTAGTTTGCGCTTGCGGAGTATGACGTCTCTGAATTTGTCGCATCTTAAATTTTGTAAAATCTTGGGGTGTCTCCGGGTTGACCGCATCTTTCGGTGGCGGCCATCTCCATTTCCCAATCCTAACGGTCTTCGCTCGGCCGTACGGGTCCAAAAAAGGTCTCACCTCCGAGGGGTCGATGTCGTGCAGCGGAGGAGGCATGGGCGGAGGTGGCGGGGGAGGTGCCCCGGTGGAGGAGCTCTCGTTCGACTCTCGTCTCGTTTTAACCGCATTTCTAGGAGGTGAATGTACCTGGGCGTGGACAACAGTCGACGAACGCACGGGAGATGTCGGGACCGAATCGGAGGGTTCCGCGACTTGTCCGGCAAGGAGCGTCTGCAGGGCTTGGTTCTGTGCTAGCAGCTGCTGTTGAATTTGAAGATTCTGTGCCATGGCGTTTTGGAGAAACGCACGTTGTAAATTTTGATGGTACGCGTTTATGTCGACCGTACCCGGAGGCGGCAAATGTAAGCCTAAGGCTGCCGCTAAGGCCTCGGGAGTAGCCGGCATGGCGGGCATCGACGGAGGCAGTGAAAGTGCTCCATAGTTGATAGCGGATGTGGTCGCAGACGCTCCTCTGGGCGTCGTTCCGCCTCCTTTTATGGCACCTGAGAGTTGTTCCCCATCGGTAAGTCGCTTCAGACTATCGTTCATGAATATCGGATCAAACAGGTTTGTGATGTAGTCGTCGACGGAATCGACGCTCGATTCCTTCCTGCTCGACTTCCCCTTTTCGCCTTTCCCGCCACCTTTGATCAAACGGTCGATTTGTTTGTCATTGTGAAGACTATCTATCCTCTCATTGTAATTGCAGGTGAGTATGTCGTCGATGAAGTCGTTGTACTTGCGGCCGCCTTTGATGCTGGCGGCGAGGGAGCGCGCGTCCGACATCTCGTCAATGTTGGGGTCGAGTACGGGCGAGAAAAGGTCGTCGAGGAATTGGTCCACGTCGGACGCCTGGCTCGGCACGCGCACTCGCCGCACGTGGGACGCTAGACTTGGCGCTTCAGATGTGTCCGACATTGCTGATGACCTAACGCCTCCGAATTCCGAGCTCTTCTCAATATAAGCTCGACTTGACTGTGAGCCGGCGGGCGCGCGCTTGCCGGCGTACTGCGACTTGATGTATCGCGAGGGCACCGCCCGGGAGCCCGTGCCGTACTCCATCTCCATGGCGCCCTTGCTGCTGGCCACACTGGGCGCGCCGCCCAGCCGCTCCACCGAGTGATAGCGGTCGTTCAGCCGCGACTGAGACAAGCCCAGGTCGGCCAGCTTCGTCGGCGGCGGCGCGGGGTTGCTCTCGCCCAGCAAGTTGTCCAGCGATCTGCTGCGAACCTTATCCGATTGCTGCTCGAAGTATCGCTCGTTCAAGGCCGAATCTCTGGACAGAATGTCGTGCGATATCTTTCTAGAATATTCATTGTTATGCTTGTTAATGGTATGAGACTCCTCCTGTTCCATCTTCCAATTGTATTCAGATTCGTCAATGGAATCTTCTAGCAATCGTTGGATGCTCGGAGAGCGGGATTTGGGTGGTTCCGGTGGCGGCACCTATTGAAAAAAAATTGAAAGGTCAATTTAAAATACTCTTAATTTACTACAAATCATACTACTGTGTACATATGTCAGGGTTTCGGCATACCTGCGGTCGGACAGCTCGCTCTGTGTCTACGGAGGAGGCGCGCGGGGGCGGCGCGGGCGCAGTGCGTGAGGTTGAGGCACGCAGCGGCTCAGTGCGTCCACCCGGCCACGCCTCCACCTCGCCCACCGCGTCCAGCGCAAACTCGCACCCCGCCCACTCTGTATAACCATACAATTATTGCAAATGTAGGAGAGGTAAGTTATATTTGAACCATTGCTAAATCATGTACAAAATATAATAAATGAATAAGAAGTTTGTTTAGAAAATTACCTGTGAGCTGTCCGTTATGCTCCATGGTGAGCGACCAGCCGGTGAGGCCGCGCTGGTGTCCAGCGGCGGCCAGCGCGGCGGCCGCCGCACGCTCGCACGTTGTCCACGCGTCCACGCTGACATGCCTTAAGGTATCTATGAAAAGAATGTTAAGTTAATAATAACTTTCCTAACAAAAGGTAAATTTAATAAGGCATTCAAGTGTGTTTTTATATTTGCATAAAGCTGTATTGTATCTAAATAAAATAATTAATTACCATCGTACAACCGCAGCGGCAGGGCAGGCATGGCGTTGTCTCCGGCGCGCCACTCTAACGCAGTGGGCGGGGCCCGACGAGCCACGCCCGCGGCCCGCGCCTGCGCCGCCTCTGCGCCCCCAGCCAGCCGCAGCAGCCGGCTGCGCTGACGTCCGCTAGTCGACTCCGATATCAACCTCAATAGGTACCTGTACAAAAACATATAGTTAAAGTAATAGGTATTTTAAAAATTCTATATAAAACGCGTTTTGTAACATTTTGATAAGGTTGTAAACAGACGCTTTAATAAAAAGTGTCATAAATTTTGTATGTTAGTCAATTATTAGGTGCAAACATATCTATATTTTCACACAAAACACACCCAAATCTTATATCATATTGAACTTAGATTTCTGTAATGGTTATTGTACGGTTATGAACTGACTTGTGCAGGGCGGGGCCGGGCTGGAAGGAGGCGAGGCAGTGGGCGACGAGTTTCCAGACGCGGTCGCTGTGCGCGCCCCCCGCCGCCGCCTGGTTGGCCAACTGCACCAGGATCTCGTCCCGCAGACCACGCGACGCTATCCCGCGGGATGCTATGTAATCCGCCAACACCTAACAAACAACATGTAAATATTTTCACCTGACATTTCTAAAATAGCGAAGTGACCGTTGTCTAAAGACATCTGCAGTTAGCAGATGCATTGCATACATTTATGAGTCAGAGCAAAAGTATGTACGAAAAGGTTAGAACATGTAAGTAACGCGTAGGACATGGAATTGGCGGTGTTAACTTGCAAGTTAACTTAGAATGTTTTTTGATTTCTCTTAAGAATTTGATGTATAAATTTTTATTTGAGTTACCTTTTGCCGTGTGTCGTCTCCTGCAGCAGACTCGTCACACCAACGCAGGATTAATTTGAATATAGCGATCGCATCGTTGAAGTCTTGATCTCTGAAAAAAAATATAAGTTTTTCTTGAAGTCAAAACATTTTCATAACTTATTATTAAGTATTCAACAGGTACAGAGGTTTTCAAATATCTTGGTGGCTCGCATGGCAGATGACCTTGAGCCGACAATATATTTGAAAAGACGTATACATTTTAGTTAAATCATTCCATTGAGATGACATAATGTGAAATAGCGCGCTATATAAATTAAGTAATGGTAAATACAAACCTGACTGCAGCTTTAGAGAGGAAAGGTTTGGTGATGGGCTGCTTCTTGGGGCTGAGCTGGCCGCCGTCCGCGAAGTACACCGAGCTGAACTTAGAGAACGCGAACTGCTGCAGATCTTTGGGCAACTGGATGCGCTCTTCCTCCGCGAATACATCACCTGATACCTGGGAATAATAAAAATATACATTTTAGATTGTGATAATAAGACTCACTTGTGTTGATTTATTGCCATCTCTGTCTTTTCAAAGAGAATTTGAGGGATAACAATAATCAAGTATCACAGCACCTTGGGACCTTTTAATATTCGTACCTTGGTAATATTCTTCTCTGTATGTAGGGGTTGTGTCTCCTCTATCTTGGACAATATAAAGGCGAGCTCAGCCGGTACTTCCAGCACCTGCAGGCTCTCCGCCTTCGCCTTCTGCTCCGCCGCACGACGTCTAACAAAGAAAACATTCAGTAAACATACGGTAGGCAGATTATTTATTCAGTGATCTATGGCTTAGTCATAGGAGCTATCTACTCATACACTTAATTCTGCACTCGGAGTTATTACTTAGTATGAAATATCGACACAAAAGGAACAATTCTGAGTGAGTGGTGTCCTTACTTGGCGGCCGCCTGGTGCTCCTCCTGGCGACGTCTCTGCGCATCTCTCTGTTCCTTCAGCGCGGCGACACGACGCCTCGCCCTGCGCGCGCGCACCAGCGCCTGCGCACGCACCACGCCGCGGCGCGCGCGCACGTACCTCCGCCGGTCACGTGACCCGCGCCACCACGACTGGATGCGGACGGTCGACGCGCGCAACTGGTTGTAACGTTTTCTATACACCAAAATTATCAGTAAATTATTTTTATTTTTAATTTACGGTGTTTTATTCATTACTTATCCTGCTAACTACTTCAAACAAATTATACCCGTTAAATATTTTTTTAGAATCTCTTTTCTTTAAATAACAATATATTGAACTGTTTTGATGGTAGAAACTTCAGTTTTTTTTGTTTTCTGAAATTTTGTTATGTGATTTATTTTAATTGATAACTAACCTAGCCAGGTATCCTCTGATGTAGGCTTGTAGCGTGGTAGCGGCGGCTCGCAGCTTGTCGGCGCGCGCTCGCTCCAACGCGCGGTGCAGCGCCTCACGTACAAACACACGCGCCGCGCCCAACTGGTAGTCCGCACCGGCTGGAAATTAACAATTAATATGAAATTACGATTCAAATTCGTTTGCTCTACTCATAATAAAGAACGCTGCAACGTCTTTTCAAACATACTCAAAAGAATTGCAAAAGAAAATTCTAGTGTAATTTTATACACGCATGTCATAGAGTTGTTAAAAACTACGCCCGTAAAATTAATAAAGTTCACAATTGTATTTCAAAAAAAAAAATATGGGCATTTTATATTATATGCAATGATAACCATTCGCAACCTTATATTATAACCTCATTCGAGAGCTATAAAGAAATTGTTAATACGTCGAATTGCCAAGATGTACATTTTTTACGACGTCACACAGATTCTCTATAAGCAATTTAACACGTAACATCAACAAGTGTAACACTTTCCCCGCAAGTCACGGATGCGTAAGCCACGTTATTTTTACACATCTTACTAATATTATAAATGCGAATGTTTAGATGGATGGATATTTGTTTGAAGGTATCTCCCCAATTACTTAACAGATCTGGCTGAAATTTGTCTTATAATTATAAAGAACGAAGCCTGGAAGAACATACAGTGGACTACTTAAGTTATAATTCCACGGGAACGGAGTCACGGGCGACAGCTAGTTTGTTAATAATTTTTTGACAAGAGATTTTAAAGACTATCAATTTAATAGGGAATTTCTTTCATATTTGTTGGTTTTTGAAAGTAGTGTTATAAAAAAAGAACTATAGTAATTACACTCATACCTTTAAAACACAGACATTCACTTATTTAAACAGTAGTAAGTTATTTTCAAACGTTGTTCACATGTACACAAGTCTTAGCGCGAATTCCGACTGATTCCTTTCTCCCACAATCAGCCTATCGTACACACAATGCACGTAAGTCCCTCCCAAGAGGGATCGTTCAAATAAAACGCATGCAAATCCATCGCCTCATACGCCTGATTGTATGCATACAGTGAGTCGTATATCTTAGTTGCTAACAATGAAGACGTAGGCGTGATCGATACCTATGTTGTAACGCTTTCTTAAAGCTTGAGTAATTTATAACCCACCAGTAAATTCTTAAGAGTCAAAGCTCTTCAATTAACTTAATTAAATTTTACAGTTCATCAGAGAGACAGAGAGAGAGAGAGAGTTTACTGGATCCAAGTGCTTTAACTTATAGGATCACTTCGTTGTCCGTCCGTCTGTTTATCAAGGCTTTTTTTTTAGATTTTTAGATAAAATTCTTATAACTTTTGACATATAAATCTCAATCGTTAAGTATTTAAAATCTCACTTCCTACTCCATAATCAAATAACAATGTTTGGGCTTAAAATCTCTATAAAACAAATCGTTTTGTCTCTTCTTTTCTTTGACAAGACGGAATTAAAATCTTTTAAATGGGGATTAGTTTCAGAAACCCACGATAAATGTATTATACAAAATTATAATAAATTAGTAATCGTCATTGTTTTCTTACCAGCGCCTGTAGGTGGCATCTCAGCAAGAATGGAGTTGCATATTTCTCGGTACGGCGTCGCACGAGGCGGATTCGTCTTCAATAAGTACCTGGAAATACGATATATTCATTTTAAATTTAAAACATGTTTCTGATACTATTACTACGACGATTTTAACGACTGATAAAGAATTATCTTACTAGTATTATAAATGAGAGGGTAAGATGAATGTTTCGTTACGAAGAAACGACTGAACCAACGAGGAACAACGTATAAGTTAGTAGTTACTAATTATGAAGACAAAGTTGCGGGCGACAGCTAGTATACTAACCTATATCTGTCAACGAAGTTCTGGAAAGGTATCCGTATAGGGTACCCGGTCTGACGTATCTTGATGGTGTCCAGCATCCCAGTGTACCGCAGCTGAGCCAGTACGCACGGCAGCTCGAACTTCATCGGCGACTTATCCGTGTTCGGTTTGATGCAGCGCACGAACCACGGATTGCAGCGCGTCATTGACTCTAGCAGCTGGTGCAGGCTGTCTGAGAACCTGGGGAAGGTAACATATGACGTAGGAAATGACGATATTAACACGATTTGAGAATTTACCTAACCATCATCATCATCAGCACACTATTCTTTCCCACTAAGAGGCTCGGAGTCTACTCTAAGTCATAGGTGACTAGGCCACCCTGGTCCAGGCTGTGTCTAAGAAAGTTTGGAGGTATTTTACCTAGCTGCTACAGTCGGTGTCCTTGGCTTCATAGTAACAAAGCGTCCATTAGCGCCGCGGGGCAATGTCTTGTTGTTGTCATGTTGCGCGCGCAGCTGGCCCGACATTTCGGCGACTAGCGGTACATCGCTGCTGCATAGCAGCTCCAGCACGTCCCCGCGCAACGCATCGCGATTCTTGTCCAAAAAACCCTCCACGTTGTACCACACTTGACCCGCGTAGTGCTTAATCTAAAATAAGATGATATATTAGTAAGGAACCTTAGAATAGTTTTGCTTTGATTCTTTAAAACGTGAAATTTAACTTACGCCGAACTCGTTAGCTCCTAATCTAGGTCTTGAGTACAATTCATTTAAGGCGTGGTTATAGTGACATTTTTCCAGGAACGAGGCGTCTGAGGCGCGCGGGAAGTTACTCTCGTCGTCCAGCAGGTGCAGGATGCCTACTGGTTTCTTACTCAGAAGCTGGATCACTGGAAACAGCGATAAAATGAGCAACCACAGAGTCAAAAGCAAATAAAAAGACGATGAGGGGGCTACATACCCGGAGAATTATCGTTCCAAGTCAGATTGGACCATTCCAATCGCTCCTTCTGATACTCCTGTTGTTCCAGTTTGAAAATATGCTTATTGAAATAATGCTGGAGCGTTTCGTTCGCGTAATTAATACAAAGTTGTTCGAAGGAATTCTCTTCCAAGTCTTCGAATCCGAAGATATCGAGGAGAGATATCCGATGAGCATCGTGTAGACCCGAGCGGTGGACTATCGAGTTTATTCTTAATACAAGCCAGTTGAAAAGGGAAGAATAAAGCGCTTTGGCGAAGGCGTCCCTGGCGTCTAAGGCCTGGTCTATCGGTAAAGGTGACCTCATGCGCTCTGCTCGGGCGGCCGTTACCCTCGTTGTTAAGGCGCGAGCTAGTGCCTCTGCGGGCACCTTCAACAAATGTGCTGCCCAGCGCACCTCAGCCCCGCCTCCTAACTGAACTCCTTCTTGCCCATGACGCAATTGTCTTCTGTGGAAGTACACATTTCCTAAGTGAAGAACTGCGGCCAATACTCTTATAATGTCTTCTCTTTCTGCGTCACCAATGCCAAGCACTTGCATAGCTCCACACAGAGCGGACCAATCGGCTCCCGCACCGGCGCCTCCAGAGTCACCGCCTTGATTTAAATAGAAATAATGCTCCGCTGTCAGTAAACCTCTCGTACGTCTCTGTTCTTCATCCAATCCCGCTAGCAGCTCATAAAATACATGATAATTTCTTTCGCCCGGCGATTGGGTGACTATTCTCGACTTTTCTAGAAGATAATGTGCTACTCTCGCGCCGGCTAAGGCGCCATCTTTGAAATATAGTTCTAAAAGTTTTCCGAAACGACTAGAGTTATGGTTTTTTGGTGTCCTCGCGTTTCCGAACGCTTCCAGCAATGGTGCCGCCTCTAATATCTGTTCGGAGACGGGAGCTCTGCCCAGTGGCGCGGGTGCGACCGCGGCTAGAAATTGCACTGCTAGTTTGGTGGATTCCGTCTTCCCGGCACCCGACTCCCCAGATATCAAAATAGCTTGCGGGTGCGGTAGAGACGACCGGGCGGCGGCGGCGATCGCGAACAGGTGAGGTGGCAGGTCGCCTAGTGCTTCCGCCGCGTGATATCTGTATCAAACGAAAAAGCTTGAAGCATACTATGTTATATTATTACTAAGGATTATTATTTATATTTTATTTGACGTTTATTAACACTAATAATATTAGACTCTAAGTTGTACGTCTTATAACCTACTAACAATATTTAAATGTTTGTGTCTGTCCTTTTAGGTAAATCAACAGTTTCAGGTAATTCAAGGTTTTATTCTTTGGTTCACTTGTTTATTCACAAGACTTCTCTACAAGCAGAGTATTGTTGCCAGTCTCTAACAAGTTTAAACAGAACCATAAACACTTGACATTGGCCCAATCCGATTAGGGGAGCCATAAACAAGAAACAGAACAGAACAGATTATTATTTAACTTTCCAACAAATACAAACATCATTACAATAGTGTGAAATACATAAATCCTTGGTTATACCCACATGAAAGATTTAGATAATACAACCGACATAGAGGTTGCTTTAAAAGTGTCAAGGTTGTGTGCCATGCTCAATGTCTAATGACACTTTAATTGTGCAGCCGCAAGACATACAATGCCAAAGACCTTCCATTCATAAATTTTATATTTACATACTTTCAACACCTGTGTGCTCTAAGAGTTTAAAAGTTATATTTTGAAGTCACCTTAATATCAGATCGAATTACTAATATAGAAACATTGTAAGCCATATTTCGATTACATCGTCACGTAACATAAGATGGCAACATGAAGGCATAGTTTATTTATAAAAACATCCTTAATTAGTTACATTTTATTATCTGTTTATAAGATTTTTTCACATTTTAAATATCAAATAAATGACGTTTTGTTACCTTCTAGCAGTCTGCAGACCATACAACGAATCAACAGGTCTGTAGGGATTGACAGCTACCAATATGGACCCGGCGTATGTATAAATCAGACCCTGTTCGTATCTCAGTTTCAAGTTCCAGAGTAATGCAGCTTCGTGGAGGTCATGGAGGCGCGTCATGTCTTCCACTCCTGTGGGGCCCAGCTCCTCGCGCGGCCATACGGGGTCGCCCTCTTCTTCCCCATTGCCCATCTGGAGAGCGAATGTCTGGGGCTGTTGGTGGATAAAAATATTTTTTTTTACTACTGATACATATTTCAGTACCTACTATTTACGCATTGTTAAAATGAGGTATAAAAAATAAAATATTTTTTTTAAGCTGTGGATGACAAGATACAAGACCTTATTGCCTCGCATCGCCCATGGAAGCGCAAGGGAACAGTCCACGACTTAAGAGTTCGATAGCAAAACAGTTGAAAACATTCTTTTAAGACGATACATATGTTGAATATGCACTAGTTTTTAACCCTAAGCCAATTCCTAAGTCAAGGTCAATCTAAGAGCTTACAATACGCAATGCAATTTTCCACTGGCTTACATTTATATACGAGATAACGTAATCAAGGTACAACACAAAACCGCAGCCAGACGGAAAACTATCGTCTCCGTCGTCACTGTGACATGACGTAACAACCACATAATACAATCTGTTCATCTGAACGCATGAGAAATTTCCCTCTCGACATCACTATGAAATATACTTTAAATGCTTGCTAAACGGACCGAGAAATATGATCTTAATAATCTTACTAATATTATAAATGCGACCGTTTTAATGGATGTTTCTTTAAAGGTACCTAAAGCTACTTAATTTGGCATACATGTAGAACAAAGTCTGGGACAACACATATACTACTATTTATTTTTTAATTCCGCTCGGACTGGAAAAAACAACGGGACTTATCCCTATCCTTGACACTGATGTTTCGAAAAAACCGAAAGAATCTTAAATCTTTTATGCTAATAATATTTGTTAAAAAGGATATCACAGTATATATTATTTCGCATAACAAGGTGACTTTGGATGATATTTATGTTAACAATTAATTAAGATAACAAAACAAGTTTTCTAGATATCTGTTTTTTTATTTATATGACTTATTTTTTTTTAGTTTTCAACTTCGTTTATCTTTTTGCCATCGAACTAAGAAATAGGCAAATTACCTTCAAAAACTATTGTATAGGTATAGGATAGGATTCATATGTTTTTTCCTTGAATTATAATAAAAAAAAACCTTACATAGTTTAACATGACTTCCATACACAACTCTTTTAATTTCCGAACTGACATTGATCGCCATTTTCTATGTCTTATGTCCGCCATTTTATTTTTTGAAGTTTTAAGAATTGGTGATTTGGGCAACATGCGCGCCTTTTGCCGTATCTTCCTTTTATGAAATAGATTATGTCGTGTCCATGTTGAATTTGAATCTGTGGAGCTACAGGAGAGGTTGCAAGCTTCGCAGATATCCGGCGAACTGCACGGCGTTGGCGCGAAATGAACGCGCATCGACGTACAGATATTATTTTTATAACCGATTTTTTAATTAAATTATGTAACATGCCGTGTTATTGATATTTTTCCAGTTTTTTTTTAATACAAATATGTGTAATCAAAGAGAATTTACTATAAATTTGCAAACATTTTTCACAAGTTGCAACATTATGTCAAATCACACTTCACAAATCATTGTGTTACATCCAATTATATCACGTATGAACAGAACATTCACTTTCATGAATAATTCCCATTTAATTTCGAGCACTTTCTATTTGTAATTTTAAAATAATAACATTACATCAGAATTTGCACGAGTTATTTAAAATTAGCGTAGCGGCGTATTATACGCGCGAAGTGTAACTGAATTTACCAGATGCCAGCAAAACTGGTAAAGTGGCGTAAGCTAACTGTTAGGTACCGAACAGGATAACGGAGCGGTAAAGTCATCTAGTTGTTGCCAGCATCTTAATCTTAAGTTAGTCAGATTTCTGCGAGATTAAAATCTAGAATGTGTTTGTTATAATTTAATGTTTTCACTCGATTCTTACTATTAGCTTGTATATTAAAACATTCCATGCTTTAGGTAATTATATTATAATAAGACTTAAGACATATCATGATTGAATTTTAATCAATATTAATAAGTTAAATACATCGAAATTTCATTTCATTAATAAACATAGATAAATATCAGTATAATCAACAGTTTATTTACGATAGTCATCAGCGTAGATAATTAAAAACAAGAATTAGAAAACTGTCAGGCGTCGCCGCGAGAAAAGGCATGCGCCGATCGCCGGGCCTCAGGAATGTGGGTAGAGAGTTCGCGGCATTCTAAGACCCCTTTTCCTCTAAGCGAACAGCTGCGCATCACCAGTCTAACTGACCACATTAGCAGTATGTTTACCATTACCACTAGTAGAAACAACTGGTCCTAGAAATAATAAGTCGTGCTGTGTTAGTCGGTTTGTGGAAAAGCGGCTTAATATCAGTCATATTATCATCAATGTTACCAGAAAGGTATTGAATGCTTCTCACATTCTGAAATGGATCCGGTGACATGCAAACTATGTGTATGAATCATTTTTGTTTATTTTTATTTCATGGTTACCTGGATTGTAGTACGACTTTTGATTTTTCAAATGAATTCCTAGTTGACATAATATAATATTTTGATTTGATTCCAATACCTCTATATTACAGGCATTTTTTTAACCATTACGTCCACGCGGAATTAAATTTTCTACGTCTATACCACATTTCAGCCGGAACTGTTCAGCCATTCTGGAGATACCTCAATCAAACATCCACCCATCCATGTAAATTTTCGCATTTATAACAGTAAGAAGTAAGATTGAACTATCATAAACACGCAAGAATGTCGGTTTACAATATACGTGTTCCATCGCGTTTCCACAATCATACGACTGACATATTGACACAAGTACGTGATAATTTTGTTCTACTTTCAATAGCTGTAGCAACTGAATGCATTGTATGCGATAATTCATCGATAAACAATAACTAATTATTGTGGTTTCCAACTGAGTTTGTACAAATTGGTTTTAAGTATGAACTATAGACGATAACGTGGGATTTTTTTAATTAATAATGCGTATAATGAATAATAAAATGTACATTTATCCGACGTTCTTACGATAAACCTGCACATATCTATGAAGAAATTCAAAGATATGTGTTAAGTAAACTCACACTGGGCCAGCGTTGTTGACTATGGCCTAGTGACCCTTAACTTGGGTTAGGCTCCGAGCCCCTCAGTGGGGATTTATACCGATATGGTGATGAAGATAAAAAATTGATGTAGCTGACCTGTCCATTGACGAGAGCGCTGACAAGGAGCACACGGGCGGCGCGGTGCACCTCGATCAGGTCACCGGGCAGCGGGGCGGGCGCGCCCGGCGGCTGGAACCACACCGCCGCGCCCTCCGCCCACTCCAGCTGCCCAGACCCCCCCGACCCCGCCATCCTATCAACAAACAAAACAAATATGTCAATATAAAGTAAAGGTGAGGCAAGAATACTGTAAAAGAATAGTTTTGTCTTGTCTTTGTGACATCAAAGGATAGATGCCGAAGAAAACAAATAATCATTAATTACAATTATCTTATGTTGGTCGAATATGGACGAATATTAAAAGAAATTAAACAATTTTAAAAATCTGTGAAAATATTTAATTTAATAAGTATCAAAATGAACCGGAGCTTTTACCAAAACACAACCTCCATGGTAATACTCTATAAATAAATAAAAAAAATGACGGCCATGCATCTTATCAATAGGCCTACTTAATCTTTACACTCTTTTAATATAAACGGACAGATTTCCCATAGTATGACCGAAAAATCAAATTGAATGCAATCAGTTCAATAGATCGCTAGCTGCCTCAGACCAAAGAACTTTAATTGCTTTGATTATTATGTTTAATTTCATCAATTAAGTATCAGAAAATAAACATAAATATTTAAATTTTTCTTCCATGTTACTATTGCCTCAGTAATTTAAAACTGAACCGAAGTTCTCGAACACACAAATAGAAAATGCACTGTCTTTGTCAATTGTTAATGGAAAGTGTAAATATTTAATATCGTATCCAGTGTCTATCGTACTTTGTAAATGATACAAACTCGCAGTTGTGTAGTTCATTGTATAACAAGACAAAGGTAACATGAGTTGTTATTAGCTAAGATTTACACGTGTTATGTCTGCGGTAAGTCTATACAGGTAGAGTTAAAAGAAACAAGCAATCGTAAATCAAGACTTTGTATAGCCGTATATGTAATATGGATCCTTATTTCCCGACAAATAATGATGCTTCAAAATTCTTTAATAGAAAACGATTGTAGGTTGTTAAAAACTCGCTTGTTGAAGATAAATCATAAGGTAAACAAAAAATTTAACAACAATTTATATTTAAATGTTAATACATTACTTATGAACTATTTAACAATGGCAACAATGACTTATAAGTATATTGGTGAAGGAAGAGCAGCGGCGAGACAGTCACAGCCGGGGGGCGATGCCAGGCAACATATTGGAGGCGGGGGAGGAGGCTGGAAGCAGACGGGCGAGGGCGCCGGCGGCTGAATGCAGAAAGGCTCCGGTGCCGGCGGCTGAATATACATTGACGGCGGTGGAGGTGGTTGCACGCATATAGGCGGCAGCGGCGGCGGTTGGATGGTCATAGGACACGGCGGCGGCGGCTGCACATATAGCGGCTCAGGACACGGTGGCTGCACGGTCACCGGGCAAGGCCCTGGGGGTTGTATGCACATCGGTGGCGGCGGCGGCGGCTGCACCATCATGGGCGGCGGGCAGGGTGGCTGAACTGACATCGGCGGCAACGGCGGCGGTTGTATCATCACTCGCGGTAGTGGCGGCGGCTGAACCACTATCGGTGGAGGAGCCGGTAACTCGATAACTATCGGAGGTGGGAGCGGCAGTTCCAGTATCAAAGGTGGCGGCAGTGGCGGACTTACGCTCATGGGTGGGAGCGGAGGAGGTGTAACGCACATCGGGGGTAAAGGTGGAGGCGACACTGTCATGGGTGGTGGCGGCGGCAGTGCGATAGTCATCGGTGGGAGCGGTGGTGGTGTGATGCACATCGGAGGTGCTGGAGGCGGTGATACGGTGATAGGCGGAGGTAGAGGGACTTCAATATACATCGGAGGTAAAGGAGGTGGTGTTACACAAAGGGGAGGAGGTGCGGGTAGCGTGACGTAGATGGGGGTGGGAGCTTGGCAGCCGCATGGCAGGGAGGGACAGCCGCAGGGTGCAAGTGGCGGCGCGGCATACATGGGCGCTTGAGGTGCCACCATCAGGGATGAAGGACATGATGATAGTGCGTAATACTGGGTATTTACCGGGTACTGTAAATACAAATAAAAAATTGGGTATCCGATACGACATATTAATTAAATAGTTATAATTTTAAAATCACTTACGTAAACTACCCCGAATAATAATAAAATCGCCGCTCCAATGTTCACCGCCATCGGTGATGTGTTCGTAACTTGTCAAATGTACTATATTGCCCTTGTTATATACCAAACATATTGCCCTATAAATTAAACGTAATATCATATCGAAACAGTTTACCAACATTTTATCAATACATTTCTACATATTAATTGCAAGTTAACATATCTGATCCATATTTATATTTGAAAAAAATAATAAAATGATAAATCACGTCAAGTTCGCTACGAACGTTAGGAATGTAGAAATTGATTAATAATATTTATAAAATTAAAATACACTCGAATAATAAAGTACTTTACACGAAAGCATATTTCTAGCGAAAAAAAAAATTGGAAATAAATTGTAAAATATTTATCGTGTGAGAAAAAGTCGACTTCTAAAATCTTTCATCTGACCATATCTTTAAAGTTACAGCAAAAGGATACCGAACTAACTAGAAAATTATGAAACAATTATTTTTGTTTTCATATGTACTTAAAAACGTAATGCTAGGAAGAAAATCCGACATTGTGCCGGTGTATCAGTGCAACACTAGCCTTATTAAAATTATCAACGTTTATGTCCCCTCACTAATCATTCTGACACTTGACTTTGGTAACGAAAGCGCGTCATTCGCGCCAAAGCATTCTAACTAATAATGTCTAAAAGTAATTACCACGGTTTACTGATAATTGCTAAGTCAAGAACATATTCTGGTAATAAACAAAAACCGAATGATTCCACACAAACGAAAGTGTTGTTATACAATCCAACTGTCAGTTGTTTCGTCGCGTCCATACATTCTTAATTGAAGAAAGTGAAAAGCGTTACTTGATGAGAAATGTTCTCGTAAATAATATTACTTTTGACACTATTTTAACGCATCTCTTGGTATCACGCAATGCGTCTTTCAATTTCTTTTTACATTAACGAGCAACACAACAAAATTCTTTGCAATACTGTGTAATTTACGACGAGCTTCCAACCTGTAGTAATAGCTACATAATATTATATGACAGTATAAAAAATATTACGATATTCTTATAATACCAGTATCTTTAAAATATCTTATTTCTTTAGCCCTTTTTTATCTGTGCCTCACATTTGATAATTTGACGTGTGATTAATTAAAAAAAAAACGGGAACACAAGTCTCGATACGATCAACTTTTGACCTTGAATATCATCGAATGATTTCGAAACAGATTGATTGGCATTTAAAAAGAACACACGTTTGCCGGCATAAATTATTACAGTCGCGCCTTCGAACGACCTAAAAAAAGTTCAATGAATCCGGTAAACAATCGCAATGGACGCTTCCGTCCGGTAAAGATGTTGGAGGACGCGGTGAATACCAATCGATTCCAACCAGGACAATACGCCTTAGTTCCGACCACACTAGTTTATATAGGGTTGCCACTTACATTGGAAATATATCATTCTAATTTACCACTGCTGTTCGATGATCAAAATACTTTAATCATTTTAATTTTAAACCTGGCAATTCTGGTGATTATTACTTTACTAGCTATGGCCCGAGACTTTGTCGGCGCGAAATTAAAACACAAATCGATTAGTAACCTATGTGTTCTTCCAGACTATGTTCTACATCCATGCCAAATTTCAGGGAAATCCATGCAACCGTTATAGAGATAATTTTTAACAAACATCTAACCATCCATTTAACTAAACTTTCGCACTATTAAGACGCAAATAAATAGTCTACTTTTTATAATTATTATGTGAGTAATTTCTATTACAATACTTGTATATATATATATATAAAAAATGAATTCAGTAAAATGAACAGACTATTGAAAGGGAATTTGGTAGATAACCTTTTGATTTGGACTGTCAACGCATTGTGTATGCCGACTGTGTATTGCCGACAAACTGCTTTCTAATGAGGCGTAGACAACTATTGTAATGGTACCCGAATCTACGTGTGTAGAGAAAATATAAGAAAGTATTACAAAAGAAATTGTGATTTTAGATTTAAGGTTATCTCCTTAAAGTTGGCGGAAATGATTATGATCTCCTTGTTCTTGTCCCATTTAGCATGCCGGGTCGGCAAGACACGGTTTCAGCCCCGCCCACTTTAGAAAAGATATTAAAAGAAAATAGAGTTTTTATTAAGTGCCATTATACAAATTTAATATCGGAATAGACGGGAAATAATTAATTTTTAATACGTCGGAAATACAATAAAATAACAACAATACGATTAAAATAAATATACCAAACAATTTGCAACGTCTATAAAACGATCGCGTTAGAAAGCCTAATAATTCTATGGCGCGATAAAATCAATTGGATAACTTTCCTAAAATGGCGGACTGTTATGAATCCCTTACACGTTACGTTATGACTTATCATACTACTAGTCATCAGTTGATTATAAATTAAAACATTTATCATCAATAGATCGTTTAATTCTATTCGTAAAAGATGACATCAACTGCATATGTTTTATTTATTTCTAATGCAAAAGCTTATAGTCTGTCAGTAAGTCGTTAAGTGGTTACTAAGGGCAACTTTTAGTGTTTTATTATTAAAAATCTACACTGATAGATTATTTGAGATACAAACAACACCGATTATGGCAATTACACATTCTGTGGTCTTTATAACAAAGTAGCTGTCACCCACAACTCCGTATGGTATTAAAAAAACGTAATTAATAGCCTATGTGTCCTTCCAGACTATGTTCTACATATGTGTCCAATTTCAGCAAAACTCATACAGTCGTTCTGAACATACCTTCTAACAAACATCCATCCATCCAAACATTTGCATTTATAATATTAGTAAGATGACTTGATTGTTAATATTTTAACCTCATAGTCATGAGGTTAAAATATTAACAATCTTATACATAAGTATGGATACTGGTTTCCTAGATTAAACAGATCTTGCTAACTATGCTTATCCTGTACAAATTTATGCTTTTAAGTAGACGTATTTAATTTATTATACACTTTTCTTTTACACACAAACTTTTATCTAAATT